AGACACCTGCAAAACAACGGTCTTTGAACACATCGGCACTTGGAAAGATCACGCCGTTTCTGTAGGCGGGACAAAACATGGAGGCAGCTTCAGGTCTGAAACATGAAGCCAGTGTTGAGGCGTCTTAGAGCGTATTCTTTTTAAAGGCCACCAGGGGGCGACACTTAGAAAACTGTGGGAAAGCTGTGACCATGTTATAGGCTCAGTCACTAGTTTAAAAAGATGCATCTTATTTTGTAAATTATTATTTATTTTAAGAGTGAGTAAGGAGGTAAAATGGGATATTCTCATTGGTTGATGAGTGTGCAGCGCCCCTCACTCAGAAATAAGAGGAACAAACACGTTTTAACTTTTATACACTTTTTAGAACCCTTAATAAATAAATCGTGTTTCTGCTTCTATGATGCATTTAGCTGCTGCAGCTTTCTAAACTAAACTGAACGGACAGATGAGGCATTTTCAGATCCTCGATCGGCTTCAGGAAGATTTTCCTGGAGACTTAAAGAGATTTTCTTGGTTCATGCTGATCAAACAATCAAAGTGCTCTGAAAAAACTAAATTAGGAACTGAGGACTCACCCCGAGTACAGAGCTGTGAAGATGAAGACGGTGAAGACGAGAAGGAGGAGGGCCTTCATCGTGAACCCTGAAACAGAAAGAAGAATAACAGGTGAGGCGAACAGAGGTCGAGCTTGTGGAGATCGTGGGTGTTCGTTTTGTGTCTTTGGTGGTTTCTGCAGATAAAAATCATCAAATGTTTTTCATGCAGCATTAAAGTCGAGTGAGATGAGTGAAAACAGAGATTCAGACTGGATCTGAGCAGGCTGCTACGAGTCTCTGCAGGCCTCTGACGTCAGAGACCCTGCGGCTCACCTGTGGGCTCAGGTGACGCCTGACAGCAGCAGGTGTTGGTGTAGAAAGGTGAAGGAGGCGGGACTTCGGAGAGGCTGCCCAGCGACTGGGTGAAACGCTCCTTTGACTGACAGATCTCAGAGCAAATCTCCTCGTGGATCAGGAGATTTGGAGGCGGGGCTTCTTTGTCGGGAGGAGTCGGGACCTCAGTGGAGTCTGAAAGAAGAAAAAAATCATTGTTCATTGTTGTCCAAGTTAACTTGAGCGTACTCGCCCTTTAAGCAGCCAGTTACCCACCGTACGTGAAGGCGCGGCTCTCCTCCAGCTCAGTGCTGTTGAACGGCGACCAGGACTCGTCCAGACAGGCCGGACCATCGGGGCTGCTCCTGGACCAGTCCAGGTCAACTTCCTGCTTCTGGTTCCAGTTGTTCCCTGTCCCGAAAACACCTCTGAAGACTTTCTCATCAAGCCACGACTGGCAGCTCTCCGTGACATCGCTCAGCAGGCGAACCAGCGAGCTGCGAGGTCGCCGCCTGCGCCGGAAAACCCTGAAGGAAAAATGAGTGTTCAGTGGGTTTGAGGTCCTTCGGCATGTTCCGAGTTATTTTGACTTTTTGTCATTTTGAGGAATTTGTGTCTCTTTGCACAGAAAAGATGAACAAAATGACATAAAACAACATCAAAGTGAAACAAAGAAATCCACAAAGAGCTAAAGAACGAGACCCCAACAAAAAACCTCAAACCCAACAAAGTGGGTTAAAGTGCAGAAAGTGACCAAACGCAACTCGAGTGTGGAAACACTTCCTCGGAGAATGACCACAGCCTGACAAAAATAACCACAATGTGATTTGAAACAACAGGAAGTGACCAAATCTGAGCGCAGCGGCCCACTCTGTCTGACTGCACACCAGGAAATAAACGTCAGGAACAACATTTAATCGAATTTTAAAGTAAAGTAAGACTTTTAGTTGTTATTAAAAGATGAACCCTGCAAACACATCAAGGCTCCACCTGTGAACACAGAGTTCATGTAACAGAACAAAGACGCTTTTCTCATGTTGATGAAGTGTTCAATAACATGGGGTCTCCTAGCAACAGTGATCAATGACATCACACACCCTGGTCCCCGAGAGCAGCTGATGTCAGGTCTGAAGTATTTACAGCTTTAAAACCTACCCGACATGTGCCGAACGGCTCACTCTGATTGGCTGTTGGAGGTGAGCTCACCGCTTTAAAGAGGTGTGTGTGTGTTTAACAGCTGTCACACATTTGTACGACCACGAGACGTTATGTTCCTGTTGCTGATGTGAAATAATCCTGAGTGTGGACCGAAGGGAGGAAAATGTTATGGAACGAAGGTTTTTCCAAACTTTGTTAAGCGTTTGGCGAATGTCACGAAGCGTTTGGCGTTCGGTTCTCTCAGCTCTGTAATTGCAGCTGATGTCATCGATCATATTCTCCAAAAAAAAACATGTAAAAAGACTTTTTCTCAGTCTTTGGTAACAAAAACGTTAGCAACATTAAACTTCTTGTGATGCTGTAAAATGCAGTAAACGCAGGCTGTTAGCTGCATTTCTTGGTATAAACTCTCCTTTGGTTAATAAAATCAAACTAACTCTGAGGCAGAGTTTGAGCTAAACACAGTCCAGATTTTTACAATCCAAAAAAACTGTTGGGACTGTTCATCCATGTGTTTCAATAAAGTTTAACATCCAGGTGTTCACAAAAAAGAAGATTTACGAGTTCAGCCAAGTTCGAGATAGCAGGAAGTTAGCTTGCGGGTAAAGGCACCGCTCTGATTTCACTTTGGAGGTAAATAAAAACAGAAAACCAAACAACAGTGATGTTTGTAGCGTCCGTAAAGTTAGACGAGCTACTCTGTGGTAGCAGAGTCGGATCAATGAATAAAACCTGGTCACACAGGCCTAGAGACTGGTCTGCAACCGTTTGGCAACCACGATTCATAAAGAATAAAATCCCCAACCGGTTGTGAGTGGTTGCTGGAGGTTAATGACAGTCGCTGGGAAAATGGCTGTTAAAGCCCCAGTAACACAGACTGGTCAGTGACAACCTGGCAACCAACTGTTGTTAGGGAAAACGTGCATTCCCCTACTGGCTACGGTTGCTAGCATCTTGCTGCGGTTGTAGTTTGAATGAAAGTGACCGACTGTAGTGTTGCATTGTCTGTAAATACTCTCCAACTATGAGCTGAGCGTTGGTAAAACTTCAAGAAGTGTGACACAAACAGGAAATTGAGATAGTTCGCTTTCAAAATAAAAGTCACAACTTTTACTTGTGCATAAACGTGGAACGAGCGAGCTCGCTGAAACAAAGTTTTTTCTGCTTCCAGATCTCAGGTAAAAACTGTCTAAATAAATGGCAGCCTCCTGGTCTACCTGCCGCTCTCACCTGTACAGGTTCTCCTTGTAGGAGACGCTGGTTTTGCAGGGCGTCAGTGACACGTTGCCCTCGCCATCCCAGGAGAAGCTGTCCTCGGTCACGTCATAGTATCCGTTGGTGAGGAGGCGTGGCGAGCGGCGGCAGCAGCAGGGCTCGCTGCCGTGCGCTGAGGTGTAGCAGATGTAGGAGGAGTCGGGAGAGAGCAGAGACACGTCGAGGCTGCAGGAGAGAGACCAGCAAAGGCTTTTCAAACTCCTCCTGCTGAGACTTCACACGTTCATCAGAAACAGGAAATAAACGATGTTTTTACCTCTGACAGTGACTGTTCCTCAACCTTCGCTTGACTGGAGAACCTGAGCGGCAGAAAAGACCATCAGAGTTACACACACACACACACACACACACACACACACACACACACACACACAGTGGTTTCTAAATACAGACGACTTTTATCAGCATGAAGAGGCACAGGGCATTCCTGGGTAAATCTGCTCAGAGGACTCGATGAAGATAAAAGCTGAGCAGGAATGTGACAGACGGGCAGCAAAGTGCTGCACGGAGCTCGTCTGAGGAGCTCAAATCAGATCTGTGGAGCCGCTAAAAGCTTTAGTTTGGTTTCCGATCGTTTTTCACATCCATAACAGTTCGAACAGTTCGAATAGGCACAAAGAAAATTTGCTACAATGTCGTAATAAAGTCCCAGAATAAAAGTAAAGTGTTGGTGAACGTGGTCGGTGATGTCGGTGACGTACTTGTGACGGCGCCGGAGAAGAACAGAGCCATGTTTGTCTGCAGAGCGGCGTCCGAGGATCTGCGGAGCACATGAGAAACCAAACAGCTGTCGGTGAGAAACAGGCAGATGTTGTTCTAACAAATCTTTTCGATGAAAGGCCAAAACCAGCAGAGAGAGAGCGCCTCTCCAACCCTCCTGACCTCGGACCAGTCTCACACTGAACGCCGTCAGCTGACAGCTGCTCTTTCAGCGAGACACTCTTATTATTTTTATTGTGATTTAGTGAATTTATTCTGGTTTTTACTCTATGGAGACACTTTGTGTTATTTAAGCTTTTTACATCACGTTTTATTGGATCTTATTAAAAACGATACTTATTTTAACATTTATCAGATTTTTTACTTTTTAAACTTCATATTATTACATTAACTTTTCCCTTTTTTTGTATTTATGCAAAACATATATATACTTACTTATTTTATGATATATGTTACCATATTATTTATCATTTTCTTCTTTTTTTTTTACTTTTATTGATTTAAAAAAAATATAGGGATTTTATTTGTATTAAAATTTGAACAGAATTCACTTTATTAGATTTAACAGGAAACTGTTGTGATTCGGGGCTTTATAAATAAAACTGAATTGAATTATTTTTTCTTTTTAACTGAGATCCTTTCTTCGTGTAATCTTTATTGAACTTTTATTTTATTGTATTTGTCTGAGCTACTCTGGCTTGTGTTTATTATTTTTACAAGAATTTCCAAACTTTTGGGATAAAAAAAAGCACATTTGATCTTTCCTCTGTCTCTATTTAAAGTTCCTGTTGTTGGGGTCTATTTTCAGCGGTGGATTAATCTGCACTAAGGTGTAGTGAGTATTTCTAGCAGCAGGATTTTGTGCGTGTGAGAGTCTGAGTAAACCACAGTGTGTTCATAAAGGAAGTTGTTGTGTATCTGAGCTGGAGCTCACAGACATTTCTCAGACTTTTACACACAGTTTTTATTAGTCGACTCATTTTTTGCTGGTTTGACTCCCAACGAGAAGAAAAATCTAGAAAATCCAAAAGAAATCTTGTTTTTCTTTCTGTGACTTCAGCTCTTTAAAATCCTCCTCAGCAAGTCTGAGCACTCGAGGGATTAACTGGAGCTAATCTGAGCT